TTACTTGTCGGTATTCGGTAAAGTACAGGAGGTCATCGAGATAGAGGATAGGGATGAGGCTATCATCGTTATGACCGATGCTTCGGATAGCAGTCCTGTCTACCCTCATGGTCTCAAGGTGGTCAGTGGAGGCGAGGTAGAGATCGCTTCTTACAATGAGGCTCTATCAGCTGGCTGGCTATCGGCGGTTCACGACACTGACTCGTTGTCGGTGCCCAATGGTAGTCTTGATAGTTCGTCGCTCCTCTGGCATGTTACAACTCCCAGTGGTTTGGGTGTACATCAGAGCTCCCTGAGGAGTCATGCTCAGACCTGGGATGCCAGCAGAAAGTCGCGACCGGAGCCTTCGACGTTTGCTGGGGACAACGAGCCGCCTCGGATGAACCTCTTGGAGGCGTTACAAGTCTTCAACGAAGAGGATGAGAAGAGGGTCTTCACGGTTCGGAAAGTGCACAAGCTCGGTTTTAAATCACAGTATGCTTTAAAGAAGTACTTCAGCCAGTTCGGTAGAGTGAAGGACGTTGTTCTCCTCCCGATGAGGGCCAAGCCGAAGCCAGGCCCGCATGGTCAAGTTCGTGCGGTTCGACCGAGCTCGATGGGCTTTGTGGTTATGCAGTGCCCTGAAGATGTACAGAGGATTCTCGCCTATGGAGACACGCATACAATCAAGGGTTGGCCGATTGAGGTCCGCCCGTTCGTTCGACCTAGCGATAAGCAAGAGTCGAAGGTTGGTACCTATGGTGAAGGCGTCCACGCTTCGGCTACTGGATTGCCCAAGGAGGGCAGGAGTGAATGAACAAGGTGACTGTTACTAAACAGTATGAAGGAATAGGACACCATGGCCTCCTGTGTTACTTTGAGCGCCGCTTCCTTGGTGGTGAATACAAGATTTTGAATGATTCTATTCTTTTATTTCATATACCTGATTTGTATGATCATTATTGAATACCAAACTAGAGTAGTAACGTCCTGTTTCTTCTGTCATATACCTGGAGTTTCTCCATCACCAATTCACCTCACGAAACCAGTCGCCTTTTGAGGGCTTCCAACTAGCACCTCGATAACGAGTGCTTGTTGGCTCCCTTGTAAGAGATGTTGGTCAGTGTGATCTATCTGAAGGACTCTGTCTATCTGTGGCTGTAAATTTCATTTGATCATCATGCCGTGCTCATTTTTGTGTCGGTAAATATAACTTTACTAAGCAGCGGCGAGTAGTTGCTGATTCCCCCCGCGAATGCTTTGAACTTGTGTGAGCTTCATCATTCGACGTATGATCGTTAGAGTGAGGCAAGGCCTCCTCAGCTCCCATGAGCGCTGGTAGTTTTTTATTGTTACTTAAGAGCCGCATCTACTCATGCCACAGGCCATCGTAGATTTATTGAGTATCAATTCTAAGGAGTCGTCAGCGCTCAAGCCGCTTCCACATCTTGAATATGTTTTATAACTGTTCTTGATTCTGATGATGGCGTATCTCTCTTGGACTGATGTCAGCTGCCTTTGTTCGACACAGTTTTACTGGCAGTTTGCCTCTGCTCAATTCCAGGTAGTCGAGCATTACCGCGCTAAAGCTTCTCGTCGCCTGGCTCCATGGCTTGAGAGTATACTCTGTTGACTGCCAAATGGTCGCTGTGAATAATTGTGTCTCTAGATGTACCTCATGTTAGCAGTAGCAGTTATCTGTTCTCTGATTACTATGGTACTAATCATCTTCACATAGTCTACAGGGTCCTCCACCCGAAATTGCCCTGAGCGTTATCATCGTAAACGAAGTCATTGTTACTGTTGTAAGTCGTGTACGTTGTCGCTATTCGATTCTCGTGTGATGCTT